GTAGATAATTGTATTTATTAAAAGAACTTACAAAAAAAAAATATTAGTAGTTTTTTTTTTTTTTTTTGACAAAAGTAATAGTTAAGAAGTTAGTAGAGTTAGTTTGTTAGCAGCTGAGATTTTTCAGAATGATGAACATTTCACTCCCTCATACGAGAGGCGCAGTTATTAGATCGCAAATTGGTGAAATTCACGGTAGTGGTAGAGTTCGAAACCATGACTTTCACCTCACCCAAACTCGGTTGATAATACTAGTAGTTATTAAGAAAGTATAATTTGATGATTGGTATTTTAGGACGTTCTTCTCCTCTCCAATATTGGTATCTACATAGAACAACATTCTTATACCGTCTACATACAAAAATCCATTTTAAAAATAAAATACGAAGTAATCTGTTAGGACTAGGAGTACCATCACTTTGATTTCTTGTCTTTGTTTACAACCAAACCTCATCCCATTTCTCTCTCTCTCTCTCTTTAAAGTAGTGATAATAATGGGTGATGTTCTTCCTGGTCGTCTTGTCTAATCCTTCACCTCCATTCTTTCGTCTTCTTATTCTGCGCACCCTTGTCCTAATTGATGACAAGAAGCCATAATACGAAGCCCAGAAGGCTGCGTAGAAGAAGGGGGGAGGGGTGAAGTTTTAATTTTTTTATTTTTTCCCTTTTATTTGACTGATTCAGGTTTTGTGGGATCGAGACGGCAATGGATGTTTTGGTGGGTCAGACGTGCGTGGCTGCGCCGCCGGGGTACGTAGGAGACCAGCCGAAAGATGGGTCTTCTACTTCCCCCTGTTTGTTTCTCAATGGGGAAGGAGAGGAGGATGTCGGTGCTGGCAAGATCCGGGAGGGAATTGTGCCTGGGTTATTGGACAACGCGCCGGAGGAATCCGAGACTGAGAGTTCGTCGTCTATTGGAGCGCCGGGAGACAGCGAAGGGGAGGAAGAGGAGGAGGAAAACAGCGTCGTTATGTCAAGGAGAAGCGGAGAGTTGGCTTCTCTGGATTCTCT